CGGGTGAATTTAGTATTTCACAGGCAAAGCCCTCCCTGAGAAGACAGCTGAAATGCAGCAAGCTCGTCCACTGGGGAGCTTGGTAGCTGCTATTATTTCCTTGAGCTTCTTATAACAGTCCGTGGAGAAAGGTGCAACTACAGTGACAGATAAGCTGAGCAGTAGCTTGATTCTTGCGTCTCGTACTTTATCTCATTCTGTGAAAGAAGGAAGATTTGGGGAACAGGGGAAAAAGCCTTCTCTTTCAAAAGCTACCCAAGCAGAGGTACCACGGAATAGCTTAGTCTGTTCTCAGTCTGCATCCCCTCCCTACTGCGGATATTTGTAACAAGCTGTAAAACTCACCTTCAAAACATCTCAGAAAAACTCAAATAAAAAAAAAAATATTCAGAAAAAGGCCACAGCCCCTTCTCCCACAGTGGACTGTGACACCTGTGTGAGGACCTATCCAGAGCGGGACCAGGGGCTGTGGTGTAAAGTGGAATTAAATTATACACCTCTTCCAGCCTTTCTCATGCATAAAGGAAGAGCAGTGAAGCTCTATGTCTTGGCAACAGATGTCCACACAAGAGGCTGGAGAGCAATATGGACAAGGTCTTCCCTCTCACCTGCCCGCTGCAGTCACAGGGTTCACTGAAGCTGACATATTCCTCCTCTCTACTGTACATTCCCAGGCCAATCTTGGTTGGCTTTTGCTCAGAGTCCAGCTGGAATTTCATCTTGGCCAAGTTGTCGAAGAGTTTGGAAAGATGACGTTGCACCTGCAAGAGGAATTGTACAGTGACTGAGACAGGACAAGCAAAATGGAGATCACCATACACGTCACAGGCATAATCATGTTCACAAAGCATGATCTTGGACATCTTGGTAGCACAACATCTTCCTCTACATGGCCAGGGTACTGCCAACACAAGCCTCTTGCCACCTCTCTCAGTATTTCCACCTATTTCTACATCATTCAGAGAACAGACATGCCTTAATAAATCATATTTCCCCTTTAGGAAATCTTTTATACGAGGCAAAAGCACAGAGTCCATTCAAACATTGCATGATCTTCTAGCCCAGACTTCCCTACATGTAGTGCAGAGAGGTCTCTAGCTGTTGCTCCACCTCATCCTAGTCTCAGCACACCGTGGAGTTTTCTTCACTATAAACCTTCCTGGTTTTTCATTACTAGAAATGAATTTTGTGTAAATTAAAAGCAAAGAATTCTCCTCCATGAAGAATAAAGACCTTTACTTCTGCCCAAGACTCATGATAAACAGATTAACAGCCCTACAAAACATCCATTTTGACCAAAAGTGCTCTTCCAGAAGGAAAAGACAATTAGTCTTTTCCCGTTCCCACCTAGCCTGAGTTTGAAAAGCCAGCAGGGAGACGCTGGCATAATTTCTGTGAGCTCTCAACATCAGCACCTGCCTTCCAGGAGCTGACAAGGTCACCAACGCTTCTTCCAGATCACAGCATAACACACAACTACATCACTGCCTGTATTTGCCCACTGCTCTGATGCTTTCAGAGGAAGATGAGGGACTTGTCCATTCAAGTCTGACTCACTGGGTCACAGAGCATTACAACACTGCTTCTCACAAGCTGTTCTGCGGATGCATGGAGCTTGGTAGGCTTCTTACACACATTCAGGCAGAGCAAAATCCTGGAAGGTGCCAAGTACCTCCAAGAAGCCAAGGGCATTCAGCTGCCCCCCAGATAAGCAAATGTCTCTTTTCAAACCTTTGGTAAACCACAGAAACTTTTTCTTACATCTAGAAGTTTCTGCTCACAAATTCCCACTGTCCATTTCCTGACCCTGGCTGGTCTGCTGGGCTTTGGATGTGCCCCAGCACATGCTGCAATCCTGTCACCAGAGCCCTGAGGACACCTGAATCAGGACGAGTACAAGGCCCAGCTCAAGGGGATAATATCATTGTGTATTTAATCCTCCTTTAGGAATTATCAGACTTTGAAACCACAATGGAAAGGCTGAGAGCACATCTGTGTATGATCCGACTTGACATTTAATTTGATATTACTGCAAATAGTTTTGAATAACAGAAAACATCAGGAATCCTTCTTACACCGTGGAGCATTTCCACAAAGCACCTTTCCTCTGCTTCCTGTGGGTTTTTTCCTCTCCATTTTAAGTATCAATCAACACTGTATTTATGATACTCTGTGGGCTGAAATCGCCCAACAGAAGAAATAGATACAGGTCACAGTAAATGTTAGAGGCAAACAGCAGCATTTCCAAATGGGTGATCTTTAAGGTCCCATCCAATCCAAACCATTCTATGATTTTATGATCCAACAATCCACTAAAGTCAACAGAAGGAATGGTACATTTGGAGCAATTCCCCTACACCTGGCATTCACAAAACATCCCCAGACACTCAGCCTGGAGAGAAGCCTCCTCAGAGAAACCTTCTGGTGCAGAAGCAGGAGGTGCAGGAGGTCAGACTGTGGCCTGGTCCCTGAGCTGTACAGGGATGGATGGTAACCCAGGAAATTTTCTTGCTTGCCTCTTCCATAGCCACTGTCTGACCATCAGCTGGTTTACCTCCTTCAGGTTACGTTCATCTCTCCCCTTATAATCAGGGCATCCCAAAGGCCTTTGCATGGGGAAAGGAAGGAGTGGCTGACTAGCAAATCCTCTTCTACCTAAAAAAAGGGAACCCTCCAAGCCATCACTTGTCAACACTTCCACATTTGAATGCCCAGTCTGGGGCTCTTTGAACAGCAAATGCTGTTCGGTGGCATCCCAGGTTGGAGATCCAAAGTCAGCAACAAGTTTGGCTGAGATCCTCAAGAAAAATGGTTTTCTCCAACCTCCCTGTATCCCAGCAGAAACAGAAACAAACCCACAGCTTTTGTGGCATCATATCCATGGCTCTGCTCTGTGCAACGCTTTCACAACCGCCCATGAGCATCACCAGGGTTAGATCAGACAACACAGAGTGCCACACGTTGCCTTTCAAAGATGACAGATAAAGGTCAGCTGTGAAAGAATTATTATTAATCCAAGTGAGGGTGGGAGAAAAGGCATTCAAGAAAGGATAAGCTAGAGGAGAGTCTCAAAACAGCATCTTCTGCTGTGACAATACTGACAGCCAGAAAAGGTGACACAGCACAAGGCTTACCAGCTGTGGGTTGGTACCATTGGAAAGAATATCCAGTAAATCTGCAGAAGAAACGAAGTAAAATCTGGGAAAGGCCAATCTCTTCATGTCCAAATATTCAGCCAAAGCCTTCTCACACAGAGACAACCTGGGAAGGCAAAGCAGATGAACAGAGCCTGGAACAGGTGGGTAAATATCCTTTAATGTTTCATGCTACGGTTTGGGTTATCAAGCAGATTCTCCCCCACCACGGGGAAATGCCAGACATGAGCTGAGCCTGCAGCTGGTCCTCAAGAGCATCTCCCACACAGATCACAACAGCACATGGTAACTCGCTGAGTTCTCTCTACTCCCAAGGGTCAAACAGCGAAGAGTTGGAGTAGCCTCATAAAAAAAGCAGAAACATGGGTGGGAGAAGAGGCTAGGAAGGGTTTGCAGCCTGACTGACTGCTTGAGACAAGCTCATCACTGCCACAGGTGATTTCACACTGGGTTGAAAGTTTCCATAACTGCTTTTATTCTAATGAGCCACATTTTAAAGTCTGATTCAGCCCTACTCAGCGGTTTTGTGTCCCACAGCCTGGAAGGAAACTTGTTTGCACCAATCTAAAATGAATCTTTCAGTCTTCACATGCTAAACTGCTGCTGAGCTTACAAAGTTCCTAAATAACATGCAGCAAGTCCTCTGTGAGAAGCATTGGCCTCAGCTGAACAAAAAAATCACTCTTTATTTTAAATGGGTAGTTATTACTGATACGCCAGTTATCATATTAACATTTAAGTGTGTTCCAGGTAGACAAGCTCATACTGTAGGTGAGAAGTGTGTCCATCTCAGGGCACTAAGGTTATACCACATATCAGGGGTATATATGCAGAGATCATTCTGTAAATGAAAGAACATGGCCTCAGCTCTGCTGCAGATGTCCCTGCTTGGACTGCTGAAGGGATACTTAGGACATTGTGTGTGGGGTGGGAGTAAGACCACGTGTGATTAGAACCAGGCGAGTGCCCAGCTTTGGATGTGTGCAAATCAATATTCAGGATGACAATTTGCACCTCCACAAAGGCAGATTCCACTTTGAGGGCTTCAGGGTGATGGATCACAAATAAAAAACTCAAGAAAGATGAGAAATGCTGTGACTTGTGAATGCAAGGAATGCATGGTCTAGGGAGAAAGCCCCGAAGCACAGGTTAAATATATTTACTAGAGCTGATCCCATTCTCTACCAAAGTCCTAGGATTTTTGAAGTTCTACCTACCTACTCTGAATGTCCTCCAGTTGTTGGGACAGACCTGGTTTATTGGTGGCCTCAACTACGTTTGGAGTTTTCTGAGCTTCGTAGGTCAGTTCTTTAAAATCCACATCGATCCCCTCGAAGCGTTTGGAGTCCTAGAAAGTAACACAAGGAACACATTCATGGTAAAACACTAATTCTGTGCTAAAAGATCCCATCCCCTGGGTGCAGTCTTTGGGTTGAGGAGAAAGACTCTCTGCAGAGAACCTCCTGCCCAGTGCAGAGGGTGCTCTCCACCATTTCAGAAGTGCTCTTCCAGCCACATGCCCAAAACAAGTCTTCAGTCTGGCACTTGCTGCCTTGTCATTGTATCCCAAAGGTGTCACGGATGAAGTGATCCATGCAGAAGTCAATGCCTAGGACCAACCATTTTCATGGGATTGAATTCCCCTTTGAATGGCTCCTCACAACTCTTCCTCTCCTGGATCCAGATGAAACACCAAGCTTCCCTGGCCACAGCAGGAGATGCTCCCATATGGGAGTAAGGCTACCAACTCTAACCCCATGTTGCTTACTCTTGCCCTCTTGCTACAGTGTAGTGGTGCCAGTGCCCAGGCCTGCAGTGGTGACACTCACAGAGGAGAGCCCTCCCTTGCCTTGAGCAAGGCTGTGGAAACCCCATGCTGGCAGTGGAGGAGCATGCTGCCAACTATGCTCTGCACCTAACAGGGATCCTGAATTTCCGGAGCTAAATAGCGAAGAATAAGTAAAACCAGGTTCAAAATGTCTCTGCTCCAAGATTCCCTGGTAACACCTCCCCATCAGCCTGTGTTCAGCCCTGGCCGCAAGGCTCTGGTTCGAGGGTTGAGCAGGCCCTGCATACAAGCCATGTCGCCAGCTTCAGATGTACTTCCAGCACATCCTCCCCCAGCTCTGGGTGCATCCCAAGGAGGTTCAGCCTCCAGGATCTTTCAGCTTCATCTTGTCTGCTTGGACAGGACAGAAGCTGCCGATCCATGGAACCTGCCAGATGGGTACCGAAGTGCAGAGAGCCGCCCAGTAGGAGGCAGATTTAGATCCTGGTGTGACTTCATCCAGGCCATTAGAGCACTGTGGGATCATAGAATCATAGGGGTTGGA